TCCAGGAAGAAAGTTTTGCTATTATTCTCATTATAGAAAATTGGAGTAGAGCTCTTGATCTAACTTGTGCTAAACAGATTAATTGGGTAGCTAATGAATGGTGTAGGCGAAGATCTCATCCTGGCAATGTGACTGAATCCAGGACTGGGTCAAGCAGTTGCTATACAAACTTAGTTCCTGACAACTACACACATTTCTTTGCTTTAAATAACAAAGCACAGAATCTATTTAATTCAAAATAACGGTTCCATTTCTCAGTTACTACTGACCCAGCCCTACTATATCTTGTGTGTGCAAAATGAGACCAAAACCATTTTGAGAGTCCTGATTTCATTTACTAGCCAATGTGTGAATCTGTAAACTCATAGTATATTATTCTTTGGCTTTCATGAACCTCTCACTATTGAATACATTTCTCATTCATTCTTCAGAATACTTGAGGCTACAAAAATTTTATGGTATTGCTATTAATCACTTAGGAAACTGGACTCCTTTATTGTCAAATATCATCTACAAAGCTTCAGGTAAGCAACAAAGAATCAAAATAAGAAGAGTTTGGGGGCAAGTGGTATCACAATCTAGTACCTATACCTAGATAAAAAATAAGAAATGTGTTTATATAGCTCAATCTAGCCACTCCACAATGTACACATATTTCAAAACACATGTTGTACAGATAAACATTATCAATTAATTTTTGTCAAATTGAGAAATGTGTGTATATTTATATGTACTACATTCCCAGTTATAATCACAAGGTGAAAGTGACTTGTGAAAGCCTTTTCATGTATTATTTATGTAGTACTGGGGAATGAACTCAGGTCCTCCACATGTTTGCAAGGCAGTGCTCTACCATTGGAGCTATACTTCCACTCCTCTTTGTTTTCTGTAAAGTTGGCAGTCAACATCTTAACAAAAATCTAAAAACTTGGGGCTGGGAAGGTGGTTCAGTGGTAGAGCGCTTGCCTTGCATGCAGGAAGCCCTGGGTTTGATTCCTCAGCACCACATAAGCAAAAAGAAAAAAGCCAGAAGTGGTGCTGTGGCTCAAGTGGTAGAGTGCTAGCCTTGAGCTGAAGAGCTGAGGGACAGCCCAGAGTTCAGGCCCGACGACCAGAACCCCCCCCCCCAAAAATCTAAAAACTCCTAGTCAAACTCCAAGTTGCAAATGAAATTACTACTGTAATAAAATTTCAAATATGAAAAACTCAAATGTTTCAAGAAGCACATGAACACCTGACCTGTTCAGGATTGGGAGCATGTAGTTGTGATACTTGAGTGCTTATTATTTGTCCCCCACTTTGGGAAGTGTTCTATGTCCTTCATCTGAGCAAATCAACTTGGCTCAAGGAAATAACATGCTCAAGGTAAAGCGATCAGGTTGTGAAGCCAGGATCTCAAGCCTGGTGTCTACTTCCACAGGAAATCTAAACTCATCATCTCTGTATTATCTACTTCCAAATACCAAAAAAAAAGGAAGGGGAATGGGAAGCAATCACTACTACTCAGTCTCATTATTTTATTGCTGGAGACTTTGACAAGATTTAAGCAACTACCATTATATAAAGGAAAAGCAGCGTACAGTACAATACCTGGTATATCCACTGCCATGAAAATCTGTGCTATTTAAGCTCCTGATGACCGTTTGCTGTGTAGAAGATAAAAATAGTCAACAAAAACGCTTTCAAGCTCCCTTCCCCTTGGAAAGTCTAACTGCAAGAACTCAAAATTCACAATGGTCACTATTCAACACTACAGGTCCACTATGACAGGAGACAGGACTGGACAGGACACATCAACGGCGGGGCCGGGGAGAGGGGCCAGCTCTATCAGTGCCCAGGTTTTTTTTTTTTTTTTTACTACCTTAACCATGCAAGCACCAACGTGGAGCCAATACAGACAAGAAACAAAACAACTCGGACCAGCATCAGCCAGAGTCAAGCCCGAAAATAAAGGGTCATCTGAACATCCCATAAGGGAGAAATGTCTTGTCCCGTGAAATCAAGCCTAATCGAAGAAAACGAAGCAGCCCACGTGGGAAGTGGGAAGGTGCAATGTACGCGTGGCATTCCAAGTTTATGGTCGTTCTGGGGGTGCATTTAGATAGGCCCTTCAAGGGAGGGGGTACGGATTCCACTCACCGCCACATTCCCACAAGTTTGAAAGGCAGTGAACATAAACATAAAGGCAACTCCTAAGATAATGACGTTGAAGAGCTTTTTAGACTCCGGGGACATTTTGGCTCCGCTGTGCCGCAGGTCAGCGGCGGCCCCGGACAGTCAGCTCTCCTCGGGGTGAACCCCGCAAACCCTGGGGAAAGAAACGAGACGGTGAGAGCAGAAGCGGACCCGGGGGCCCGGCGGTCCGGCCCGGGCCTTGGACCGCGCGTCCCGGGCTTCGGGTGGAGTTAGGACATTCGCGAGAGGTCAGAGGGCGGAAGAGACGGAGGCCAACGAGGGCCGGAGGGGCCCGCGCGGGGATTAAGGGCACGGGCGAGCAGCTGCTGTCCCGCGGCCCCCGCCCGCCGGCCCCAATCCGCGCGGGTCACGGGACGCGTCAGCTGACTGCGGCCGCAGCGCCCGCCGGGAAAGGTAGTCTCGGGTCTGCGGGCCGCGCACGCGCTCAGCCCTCAATCGCTCCCTCCCCGCCCCCACCGACCGTGCCCGGGAAAGGGGGGGAGGGGAAATTGGGGAGCAGGTCCCAGCGCAAAGCAGTCGGGAGCTGGGAGAAGGGGGTCCGTGACTGACGTGGCGGGGTCCGAGGAGGCCAGGGACACGGACGGGAAAATAGGGGCAGGGATACTCCTCCAACAGAGGCAGGGCTGCGGGCGGAGAAGAGACGCGTGGAGGACGGGCATTGGTATGAGAAGAAGGCGGGACCCGGGGGTGGGGAGCGCCTCCCCTTCCTCCAGCCCGAGCGGTCACGCCCGACCTCGCCGGCGGAAAGAGCGTTTCGCGGGCTTTCCAACTGCCCGCTCACGCCGCTCCCCCTCCCGTCAGCAGTGACTGCGCGCTTTTCGGCCCGCCCGCCGGAGTCTGCGCAGGCGCGTCGGGCGGGGGGCGGGGCGCGCGGTAGAAACGTTACCGGGCGGGGCGGGCCGAGCCAATCAGAGGATTCATTTCCGGGTGGCGCGGGCGCCATTTTCTGGGGAAAGCTATAAAGGCGCGCTGGGGCGCGCCGCGGCTCAGTTGCTGCTCGGCTCGCTGCGCCGTCGGAGCCGTGTGCTCGCACGTTTCCGCGTCCGGCCCTTCCCGCTGCCACACGCGGGCGGTAACCGCCACCGAGGCGGCGCGGCGCCTCCCGCCCGGGTTCCCGGGGTGCGCGCGGGCCCGCTCGGGCGTTGGTCTCTTAGTCGCGGCGCCAGTTCGCGGGGCCCCGGGCCGCGGCCACCATGAGCTACGGCCGGCCGCCTCCCGACGTGGAGGGGATGACCTCCCTCAAGGTGGACAACCTGACCTACCGCACCTCGCCCGACACCCTGCGGCGCGTCTTCGAGAAGTACGGGCGCGTCGGCGACGTGTACATCCCGCGGGACCGCTACACCAAGGAGTCCCGCGGCTTCGCCTTCGTGCGCTTCCACGACAAGCGCGACGCCGAGGACGCCATGGACGCCATGGACGGGGCGGTGCTGGACGGCCGCGAGCTGCGGGTGCAGATGGCGCGCTACGGCCGTCCCCCCG